CTGTGGCACGTGAGCGAAGAAGTGGAGGTGGATTATTCTCAAGAGATCCTGTCGCTTTGCCCTGCATACGCAATGACCAAAGAAGGGATACAATTGTGGGCACATTGCTGTAGAACATTCCCTGAGAAGCTTAGTGCAAGTGACCACCATAGGGACAGTGTGACCCCCTTTAATTGCTGACGTATCTGTTTACATTGCAGGTTTTGAAACTTCAGCACCGCCTGCCTCCACAGTCCCGGCGTGGCAAGGCCGGTCCATAGGCACAGCCAAACTCCGATTGGTAGAGTTCTCAGCGTTTCTAGAACAGCAGCGGGACCCAGACGCCGTAAGTACATTTCTGCCATGCAATAACTATATATATATATAGTGTGATACTTTGTATAGCCGGGCATTGCCCATGCGTACCCCCAAAACATCCCACTGCCCCTCTTGAGCATGTCACAGCATTTTCTGTTTATTTTGCCCTGTTCATATAGACAGAAACCGCTTTGTTTCTACCTGTGACAACATCAGCTGACTTGTGTCTTTTACTATTGATATAGGTATGTCCCCAGAACTACATCTCCCAATATCCCTTTCTCTACAGTGTGTCAACAGGCTCTTGTGAGTCGAGATTAAGTGACTGCAGCTGTGATTTTTTCTACTGAGGGAAATTAAGGGCATTAAAAACACTTTGTTGATGTGGGAACACCCAAGACTCCCATGATCTCAGAACAACCCCCTCGTAGAAAAGAGGACATGTCTGCTTACATTGCAGATATATCGGCAACCTTCCCTCCTCCTCTACACCAGTGCCGAGTACTGCTTACTCTGCCATTCAACTGTTAGAGCGATAGATGAGTAATTCATATTCATGGCTTGCAGAATTTGGGGAGTCCTGGCCCTAATCGGGGGCATTTGGGGGGTCCTGGGCCCAAACCAGGGGGCTTTGAGTCCTGGCCCTAATCTGGGGGCATTTGGGGAGTCCTGGCCCTAATCTGGGGGCATTTGGGGAGTCCTGGCCCTAATCTGGGGGCATTTGGGGAGTCCTGGCCCTAATCTGGGGGCATTTGGGGAGTCCTGGCTCCTTGCTGAGCTTCCTCCAGATGCAGGGTGTTGGAAAATCTGGGCGATGGCACCACAATGAACAGGAATCCACCAGGCTCCTGTCCCTAGGCTTCCCTACAGCAGTTTTGCCCGGAGCTGTCCTTTAGTATCTCATGGTATACCTGTGTGATGGCTCTGTCCTCTGTTGGGGGGTATTTGTCCGTTTCCCCTGTTCTGGGAATTGGGATTCCAGTGCGGGGAAGGCAGCGAGCGGGCACCTGTCTCTTTGGCAGGCTCAGCCGGCAGCTGCAGTGTGATCTAAGAGCTGTGTTTAGGTATGTCAGTGTAGATGGCATATAGAATGTCTCATTCCAGGAGCATTCCTGGGAGTCCTGACCGTCTTCTGCTGACACGTCTCTTCTTGTCACAGCGGCCTCTTCTCCATTACATTTTATAAGCTTGTCATTTCACTGTCTGGGGGCCCCGGAGTCCTTTCCACGTCTCTCCTTCACGCAAGGAATGGCGCTTTCTGCAGCAAAACCGCCTAATGTGCCACATTCTAGCTACCGGTTCTGGATAGACGGTGAAAGGTGCATCGGGGGGTCGGTTGCTGTGTGAAACAGACATTAAAGCAAGTGGCTCCCAACCTGTGTAACCTCAGGACCCACATCTGTCCTTGGTCATTCATTTGCGACACAAGCCGCCACGGCATTGCGGTAGCGCACATTCTGGTGCGGGCGATTGAACTGTGGGCGGGAGGTGGTGATGAATGGCAATGCAACGCAACTCCTGCACCAGAATTCTCACCTCATAGTTCTAGCCGACCTGTGACAATGAGACTGTCACAGGTCGGCTCAGTAGATCGGGAGGTGAGCGAACACATACCGACGTTCGCTCACTTATCGATCCTGTCACGGCTCTCTGCTGTGACAGGGGAGGGGCTGGATTCCCCACTGACTGGGGAATCCTCGCGGGCCCTGCAGAGGTGCCTGGAGCCAGAATGTGACGTCTCTCCGGTCCCGGCACCACTACAGGACATGCGAGGGAGCTGTACAAGCAATGCATGTATGGATGGAGCTTCCTCATGGCCATAGCTCATGCCCACCTCCAAGCTGACACACGGCGCAGGGCAGCATATTTTCAATGGCTGCTGGGCACGAGAACTGACAGTGCTGCGCTAGGCTGAGAAGCCTCTCGCGTAGAAAAGTTGAAGGCACGCAGCGACCCACTGAAAACGAGGTCGTGACCCAACAATTGAGAACCAAGGCATTAAAGAGGACCTGTAGGGATAGAGGGGAGCAGTCAAAGCGGACTGGTTAGAGTGTCTGTAAACTCAATCACTGAAACCTCAATTTACTTTCCATGCCTGAAGAAGGACCTCCACGGCTGTCTCACCAGGAATATTCCTGCCATGGAGGTCCTTCTTCAGGTACTTCCTGTTAAAGAGTGACAACGCTCTTTCCCTGTCTACCAAACTATAAATAATTTAGTGTTTAGCATCTAAGAGACACCAAATGTGACTGTGTCATTGACAAGCCTGGGTTAGAATTACATTCCGGGGGTCCTAAGCCTAAAAAAAAGTCAGCAGACTCGGGTTCCATATGCCAGTGGTGACAGGTTCCCTTTGAACCGTACATTATACATCATTTCCAGTGCGAGATGTCTATACTGTGCAGGGTGACGGGGGGGGGGGTACGCCTCATAATAGCCCCTCTACAGAGCTTTCAGTAGCATTTCCCGAGGTTGTGCAGAGGACCCATTTGCCATTCGACAGGTAACGACTTTTCACTCCTGGGATCCCACGAGTGCCATTTGGGTTTAACCCTCCGGGTGCCACCCTTGGCCGCATTCCTCTCGGCACAGCAATCCCGGTCATCCTTGGCAGCCGGCGTGTAAGACGAGCTCTCGTTATTCCTTTAGACAGAGGCCGGGGCATGAGGCTGTGGACCCCCGTAGGGCCATAGTAGGACAAGTCTGCCTTTTTATAACAACTATTTTAAATGGCCTGCACTCATGCACAGCTATTTTGAGAGAGGTGGGATTAGTCACATGCAAGGCCGGGATATCTGACACTCTTTACTTTCCTTGTCTGTCAGGGTCACAGCTCTGTTGTGTCTCATCCTGGAATCTTATATTTATTAAGCTGGTTCATGCCTCAGTGAGCTCGGGGGGGCAGGGGCGGTATTATTAGTTCACCCCTCCGGTGTGTCTTGATAGGTGGAAACCTCGGAGCGCCTTCTGTTTTTACACAGCCCCAAGAAAAGAAAAGACCCGACTTATAGAACGGAATCCATAGTTTACCTTGCAATGGGGAGCCCGGGAGGTCCTATCTGGTGTCTCCACCTAAAAACTGTTCAGAGTTATTGATTATTAACGATGAGACATTGTGAAATTGCTAATATTAGGGATGCACTGATACTGGTTTTTTTCGGTACCGATACTTATATTTCGGTACTCGTCGATACCGGCACTTACGCTAGCATAGAGCCATCTTCCCAGGGAAAACAGGAAGCCAGGAAGGCTTCTTGATTGCTTGGGAAACGGACTCCATTCTGTTTGGATGCTGTTCGGCCGGGAAGCCAATTGGTATCAAGGCCGGCCAACAGATCTGACAATATGGTGACACGACCCCCCACCCTACTGGCACCTCATTCCCCTCACATCGATCCTCGGCAGCGTTCATTACCGTACCAGTCCCTCGGCCAGCTGGGCAGACACCGCTCTCCAAGCTCTCTCGGATCTGCCCACGTCTCCTGTGTGCACAGCGCCCGCGTGATCGGCCCTCAGCCTGCTAGTGCGCACGCGCAGACTGCCCAGCGCTCTCCAGAAATCCTGTGCATGCGCAGTAGCAGGCTGAGGGCCAATCACGCGGGCGCTGTGCACACAGGAGACGTGGGCAGATCCCGGAGAGCGGTGTCCGCGCAGCTGGCCGAGGGACTGGTACGGTAATGACGGCTGCTGAGGATCGATGTGAGGGGAATGATTTGTCTGCAGGGTGGGGGGTCGTGTCGCCATATAAGATTTGTTTGCACGGATCGACACTGATTGGCTGGGAAGCCGGGTTCCCGGCCAATCAGCGCCGAGCTGTCCAAATAGCATGGAGCCACATTCCCAGCTCCATGTTTCCTCGCGGCACTGCCGGTCAGAGGAAATCTCCCTCTGACCGGAAGTTTCGGTGTCGTGGAAAGGTATCGGAGCTTTTGGGCAAGAACGAGTACTCGCCCAAGTACTAGTATCGGTATGGGTGCATCCCTACATAATACACATGTAACTATCTTCAGGGCAGAAGCATCTCTGTGAGTCGGCACGACGGGGAACATTTCTTAAACCTGCACGGGGAGAAAACTGTTTACTTTGTACTCCGCACTCCTATTTACTTTGTGATGCTCAGCCGCTGAGGAAACATTCTGACTCCTGTCATTTTAAAGGGTCAGCCATCCTCCAGTGATCTCTACTCTCCATACATCAGCACTCTGTTCTCAAGGAAATATCTTTTACCAGCGTGAACCTTTCAGTTTCTTTATTGCATGGCGAGATTCCTGGCATGTCACCATACCCAGCAACTGTATTCATGTAAAATTCCTGGCCAGTGATTGCTTCTAGGCTGATATGATGTCATCAGTCTGCTGCTGGCAGGAGAAAGCATTTCCACAGTCTCCCCTCCCCCCAGTGATCAGTCTGCTGCTGGCAGGAGGAAGCATTTCCTCAGTCTCCCCTCCCCCAGTGATCAGTCTGCTGCAGGCAGGAGGAAGCATTTCCTCAGTCTCCCCTCCCCCAGTGATCAGTCTGCTGCAGGCAGGAGGAAGCATTTCCTCAGTCTCCCCTCCCCCAGTGATCAGTCTGCTGCTGGCAGGAGGAAGCATTTCCTCAGTCTCCCCTCCCCCCTGTGATCACATTGCGACATTGTTAAGGTGGCCATACACTGTAGCAGCCCTACCAGTCCTTGTATGTGGCGGCTGCGTTCGTTTTTCTATTGTAAGGCTTTTTTTCTTTTACTTTGACCCGTGAACACACTTCCTGTCCTAGGGGGAAAACGCTCACACCTCCACTTTATGGAGAAGCAGAGTAGCCACCATTAAGGTGCCCATACACCTTACGACCATCGCAAGACTTTTGTCTTGCGATGGTCGTATGCTTATTGAAAGATCGTACGATCTGCCCACCTTGGACGGGCAGATCGTACTTGCGATCATCGAAAGCCCGCCCCGCTGAGGGGCGGGCTTCCGATGACCGCAATGCAGAACGGGCAGTGTGCGCGTGCGCACACCGGCCCGTTCCGCAGCTATCGGACGAGAAGGCTAGAAAAACCCGCCGACAATCGTACGATTCTCGGCGGGTTTTCAAGCATGCTGGTTCGACAAAAGACGTGCGACTGTACAGTAGATTCTCCTACGATCTCGGGATTTCGCCCGATTCTCGTACGAGAATCGAGCAGTGTATGGGCACCTTTAGACAGCAGCATAGTCCCCCAGGGAGAGGGTAGTGTTGGATGGACGAGTAGATTTAGATGAACTCCAGCTAACATTTTTAAAGGGAAAATAAAAAAAACATCCCCTTGCGTCTGTCTGTGTGTGTGTCCGTGTGTGTCACACTCTGTAAAATGTGCACAATTCTCATTGTGATGTTTTGTTAATCAGCTAATACGAGCTCAGTCGAGGCCTCGATAAGAGGAAGTCTAGGATTTCCTAATGAGGGATCACGTTAACTAAGTCAAATTGATTTTCTGGCCGTGTAACTTGAGTGCTGGAGGTGGGGAAGCTGTGGAAACGGCTCGTTTTGGTTTCTCTAATGTATTTCACACTGTATGGTGCAGCAACTAATCCATAAATGACGAGGATTTCTTCTGGATTCCTTTGTTTGTTTGTATACCCCGGGGTGGGGGTGGGGGCGGGGGGGTGTACGGGAACTGAGATGGCTCATCATAGAACCTATTCATGAAAGAGTCTGACTTCATCACATCAGCCCTGTGATATCCGGGTCAACACAGACCGAGAGTTATTCCCTTAAATCTGACCTCCGTCCTTCCCTTCAGTCTGCTATCTGACCTCCGGCCTTCCCTTCAGTCTTCTATCTGACCTCCGGCCTTCCCTTCAGTCTTCTCTCTGACCTCCGTCCTTCCCTTCAGTCTTGCACAGTTGTACCGGCTCCTCTTCCTCTGATGTCACTGCACACTGGGAGCTTCTCATAATGTGCATTGGAAGCTGCAGCAAGTCATATAGAGGCCGGCCTAATTTCCTGACTGGAGGACATCCAGCATCATCAGCCTGACTATCCCTGGCCCCGCCCCTTTCATTTATTAGATTTCAGTTCTTCTAATTATGAGGGCTTCAAACTTGATGATTTCAAAGAATTTGCCAAAAAAATACCTCGGCCATGGCCAGATGCGAGTGATGTCATCATCCGCTGACGACATCCCATCAATCCCACGAGACCCCCCTTTAAACACAGAGAGAAGAATGTCCTAGAATACTTCCAGGTATGAAGGAGCATGTTACTTGCTGATTGGCTCAGTGCTGTCACATGGGGTAGAGACAGAGTCTTATATTCTATTGGTGGGAAGGTGATTGGAAGGGATGTGTCGCCGCAGAGGTGGGCGGTAAAGTGAACCTGTTGCTTTGTCCTTTAAGACTTTCTCACTTCCTGGCTTCCTTCTGTGCTCTTCAGCCATGCCTTTCCCTCCTCCTCCAGCAGGAGGGAGTACTCCCATTGTCCCGGGGCGGGGGGGGCGGCTCAGAGCTGCTGTCAGGATAGAATGGAATGTTCTGCACATAGCAGAGCCGGAGTCCCATTCAAGGACAAAGGATATAAATAACTGAAAAGAGAATCTGTCAATAAAGACAGAGAATGGCGGCCGCGGGTCTGACGTGATGCGTCGGGGATACAACTGCTGACTGCCATCAATAGAACAGGAAGTGATAAAGATCTGAAGATTGCTGCACGGAACCGTAAAATGGAGGATCCGATGGTTGCTTTCAGCATAACAGACCCGGGACCATAGACCGGTATTGACTTCTTCATGGCAGAGCCGTGATGGTGTACGAACCCCCCTGCAGCCAATCAGAAATCAGCTCTGAACCTTCAGGATAAATACATTGCAGGTTCATCATAACAAAGTATTTAAAGGAGAACAATGGAGTTAAGGCTTTTCCCCATAGTTCTCCTTAGGGTAACAGGAGGACACAAACTAGCGTCCTCCCGTCACCCTAGGCTCAGTATATAGGGAGCTACAGCTCGCGGTATACTGAGACGCCGCAGCCGGAGCGGATCCCGACTTAGACGACAGGATCCGCCCAGCTGCGTGAGTGACAGCTGGCTCTGCCTATCTAGAGGCAGAGCCAGCTGTACCCGCCCCCTCCCCGGTCCGCCAGTCAGCGCTGGCAGATCGGAGCGGGGAATCCAGCCCCTCCCCCTGTCACGGCAGAGAGCCGTGACAGGATCGAGAAGTGAGCGAACGCCGGTATGTGTTCGCTCACCTCCCGATCTACTGAGCCGACCTGTGACAGTCTCATTGTCACAGGTCGGCTAGAACTATGAGGTGAGTGGAAATCACTCATCTCATAGTTCTCCTTTAACTTTGCAGCCCCTTTTGTTTTCTTCAGAAAGCAGCCAACAGAGTAGAAAAGCCAATCCCCTGGCAGAGGACCACCTTCTCCTTTGTGGAAGCAGCGGCCTCTCTGCAGAGGTCTAACGCTCCCCCTGGTGAGTCATGCATATAGCTCTGCAGTCAAGTATAGATCATGCTCTCTGCTGATTGGAGAGCTTCGGCATTGACTCAGCAGGGGTTGTCTCAGACCTCCGCAGCCAGACCACTGCTTCCTCACTGAGAGCAAGGGTCCTCCTCTGCAGCATGCTGGCAGGGAACGGGCTTTCCTACTCCGGCTGTAGCTGCTTTCTAAGGAAAAGGGGCCATTACACTTTGTGTGGATGCTCTTGGAATGGAGTTGGCTGATTATAAACTGGTACAGGCTTCAGCAGGGGTGGGAACTCCGGCCCGCTAGCTGTTGAACTACAAGTCACACGAGGCGTTGCCGATCCCCGGGCTCCAGTCACATTGTTTGTGGCGATACAGAGGACGCGGAGCTGCAGATCGAGCTGCCGCAGTGCAGCAAAGAATACAATGTGTCGGGATTCCACAGCAGCAGGTCACCTGACCAAACGCCTAAGCACTTTGATCACATGATCGTCCACCAATGGTTTCAAACGCTGGGATTTATAGAAGGCACATGAGACTACAAGGGAACCTCCAGTTCTTAGAAGTGAAATCCATGCCCACTGGGTGACTTCCCAGTAACTGGCGCTCGCCTTATGTACTGTACAGGGGGCTCTGCGTTCAGTACCGGCATCTGACTTGTTGTGGTGTAATGAGAAAAGCTGCTTCCCTTTAGGTACGGCCTTAGACTGCGTTACATGAAACATCGCAAGGAATGGAAGTTGATTTGTAGCTCTGGGAGAAGCAGGGGGAAGGGGGATGTGTACACACACAAGACTCCCCCCAGATTGCCGCATCACGGGGCCACAGAGTGAACGTGGCTTGCATAGAACATTTATATTATATAATGGTGCCAGGGCTGATACGAAGGGCTGTTTCATCCTCTCCTGTCTGGCATAGCGGTTAGCACTTCTGCCTTGCAGCACTGGGGTCCCAGGGTCAGATCTCTGCCCAGAACAAAGAACGCAAAGCGCACAGCTTACCCCTATCATACGCCCCCGCAATCCACACGGATGGCTCTCTTCTGGAGCGACGGGCTCAAAAACTGCAGAGCCAGCACGCGATGATCTTCCAAAGCAATTCAAACTTTATTCCACATGCATCTGTGCGAAGAACTGCTGCTGACGCGTTTCAGCCTTAGTCATAGCTGGTTAAGCTGGCCGAGTAAGGCAGAAACGCGTGGAGTTTGCATATTCTCCTTGTGCTTCATTCTCTGGGGACTCCGGATTCCTCCCACAATGCCAAGCACATGCTGGTAGCCCGATTGGCTCCCGTCTAACTTGGCCCCAGTATGTGTGTGCGCACATGTCTAAGCGTGTGAGATGGGGACCTTGGATTGTAAGCTCCTTGACACCAGAGAGGGAAGTGATTGGGTGATGTGACATGAATAGGCAGGGTGGAGGGTGTATAGCTCTGGGGGAGGAGGGGGGTCTGAAGATGTCCGATGGCTGTGATCTCTGTCATGTGACGCGTGTCCTCTTCTATTGCAGTACAACAAACACCTCTTTGTGCACATCGGACAAGCCAACCACTCGTACAGCGACCCCCTGCTCGAGGCCGTAGACATCCGCCAAATTTACGACAAGTTCCCCGAGAAGAAAGGGGGCCTGAAGGAGCTGTTTGGGAAGGGGCCCCAGAATGCCTTCTTCTTAGTGAAGTTTTGGGTGAGTGACTCTTCTCCTCCTCATCATCATCATCTGTATACTTACTGCACAGAACTGGTTACGGTGAGTGTCGATGGAGTTCCGTGCGGCTCCGGAGGTGGAGGGACTGGTTATACTTGGTGGTTGCAGGATGCCATTTGTGTAATATTGCGAAAGCATGCGTCACATGATGCAATTAAGGGCCCCGCCCACTTCCTGCGCCTCACGATTGGCCCATACTAATTAATGATGGCTGGCTTCACCGGACCAATAGTGAGATGCAGGAAAGAGGGACGGGTCTGAGCTTCCTACTGCTGAAGCTGCTTGAAATTTTGAGTGGCACCACGGGTGGGGAAACTCCGGGCCCTCCAGGTGTGATTTCACTACAAATCCCAGCATGCCTCTGGGAGCCAGGCCTGTAGCTGTCAGTCTTGCAGTGCCTCATGTGACTTGTAGTTTCACTACAGCTGGAGGGCCGGCGTTGCCCACCCCTGGGGTACACTCTACATGGTAGAAAAACACAGTTTCCAGTAGCTGTTGATGGTTTAAAGTCATCGCAGCACCTTGCCTTAGTACTCCTCTCAAGAGCAAGCAGTGGGCGGGCTCTTGGGAGGAGTTATGCAAATCACAAAATACCTTGATGGGTGGATGTCGGTCTGGAGGAGTGGGCGTTCCTAGGCAGCCTGTATTTGCATGCACCGCCCTAGGCAATGCCCATATGCGATGCTGAGCCTCCATGACTGAAAGAACTGAAATGCACTAAATGAAGGGATGGATGGGGACAACCAGGCTGGGAAGGAGAGGACTAGATGATGCTGGACATCCTCCAGCCAGGAAATGAGGCGGGCCTCTATCTGACTTGCTGCAGCTTCTATTGCACATTGTGAGAAGCTCCCGGTGTACAGTGACATCGGAGGAAGAGGAGAGGAGCAACTGTGCAAGACTGAAGATAAGGCCGGAGGTCAGATAGAAGACTGAAGGGAAGGACGGAGGTCAGATAGAAGACTGAAGGGAAGGACGGAGGTCAGACAGAAAAATGAAGGGAAGGATGGAGGTCAGATAGAAGACTGAAGGGAAGAACGGAGGTCAGATAGAAGAATGAAGGGAAGGACGGAGGTCAGATAGAAGACTGAAGGGAAGGACGGAGGTCAGACAGAAAAATGAAGGGAAGGATGGAGGTCAGATAGAAGACTGAAGGGAAGAACGGAGGTCAGATAGAAGAATGAAGGGAAGGACGGAGGTCAGATAGAAGACGAGGGGAAGGACGGAGTTCCGCTTTAAAATCTGATGATGAGAGTCAGCCTCTGGAGCTCTGGGCCATGTAGGTCAAAAATCTGATGTGAGCAATTAGCACTCCTGCCAAGCATTGCATCACTCTGTCCCCAGCCTCCATCTGCAGCACACGGAGGAGACATTCGCGGTCTGTGTGGCTCAGGCATGCTGAATTAATGACAATCCAATCAGAACATTCCAAATGGTAATTTTAGGGGTCGTCCTGGCAAGTTCCCTTTAACTGCCGGCATTGCCTGTGAAATCCGCGGCCGGTTCTGGAATCGACTGACTTTGGCTTTGCGCTATTTTTGTCAGAAGGAAAACAATCGTTTTCTATTTCTCATTAAATCCTGCTGAGACTTGTAGAGTGATGACAGTGTGATGCCCTGGTGTGTGATGCCCCCTGTTGGGGACTTTCTACTCTGCAGTGATGGGAGACCTGTGCAGCCTCTCTGATCCACCATGGAGGAACCCTTGAAATGAGTTTCAGGTCCTGGGGAACCGCGGCTAAAAAATTGTTATATCTGCAGCTCCCAGATCACTATTGTACTCCGTCTGTTCGGTGAAGAGCACCCCTCCATTACACTGGTGGTCGGTGAAGAGCACCCCTCCATTACACTGGTGGTCGGTGAAGAGCACCCCTCCATTACACTGGTGGTCGGTGAAGAGCACCCCTCCATTACACTGGTGGTCGGTGAAGAGCACCCCTCCATTACACTGGTGGTCAGTAGGAGAATTGCCCGTCTTACAGATTGCTAAAAAGATAATCGGCGTAATTGGCGACCAATCTGAGAGGTTAGAGGTCAGGCTGTACTTGTCTCGTGTTGGCTCTGACGACATAGGGCTCCGGGCAGTCTTGATTGAGACTGGTTGATCTATAGTATCGGTACTAGACTGATGCGTGGGTCCGGGGTCGCTCCCCACCTTCGCACTCCCTATGCTCCCCCCGAGTCTGTAACATGTTAAATTATTAGTTTTTATGCAAAGCCTCCTCTTGGAATTGCGCGGCGATGAATAAAAAAACAGTATCATTTATTCAGCCGTCTATAAATGAAGGGACGGGCTGGGATCGGTGGGACGACCTCTACAAACACAACATCCATTCTTTGTTTTGGAGGAATTTGAATTGCAGACAGGATGCTCCTGCAAAGCGCCGCCTCTTGTAATCAGAGGAAACCTATTGAGATCCTTTGATGTAGTGCTGCTTATGTGGGAGGCTTCGTGTAGACGAGGAGCCCGTTCC